TTTTGGATAGCAATTTCCAAATAATCCAGCTTTTCATAAAACAATCTATCGTGCTGAGATTTTTTGGTATATATGTATCGTAGCAACTCGAATTTTTTTTTTAAACATTTACATAATTTAATTTTCGAAAAAAAAAGTATTTTTGCAAGCCTAGCGGTCACCTTTTTACATTTTTCATGATGTCTTCGGCATTTGGAATCGGAGCGTAAAGTATATATGATATGTAGTATGAATAGTATATCGATTTCCTTGTCTCTTGTCCTTGTTAAAAATTATTTTATCAATGGTTTGGGAATTTTTTTATTTGATTTTTAGACAAATTCGAATTAGTAATACATTATGAAAGAGGCTGAGTTATTCATAGTATCTATCACTGAAACCTCTTTGACTGAATATTTACCATGCAAGCAAAATTCTAGAGAAGAATTAATAAAGTACGCGTATGTTTACATTTTTCTTTAGACAGAGGGTATTTATTGAGAAAACACAACTTTCACAGGTTTTTCCAACACGTTACAGCTCACGAATATTCCTCATTTGAACGAATAAACTTTGAAATAAATAATTTTTTTTTTTTATGAAACGCCAGACAGTTCTCTTAACCTCTTAGTAACCGCTTAAGCGATTGAAATCTCCTACATACTAACATGTGCATTTCCGGTTTTACGGCAACTGTATTTTTTGCAATGTTGCATGCAATAACAATTTACTTAATTTTACTTACTGAAATATTTGCCGTTACTTAAGGTTTCACTGTTATCCTGATTGTACTAAATGTTAAAGAAATAAGCAACAAATTTTCTCAGCTTCTCATAAAAATGCAATCGCCGTTCGGAGTCGGCGTAAAACTGTAGGTCCCGCACGCCACAAATTGGAGGAAAAGCTCGGCCAAACACTAGCATATGTGTAAGCGCCAATCTATTATTATTATTATTATTATTATTATTATTATTATATATTGCAAATTTGTTACGAGTTCTTAATCTATGCAATCCTTATACAATAAAAAGTCGTAGTTATTATCAGTAGTGAATAAGTCGTAATCACTAGAAAATGGGTGGGTTTTTTTTTTTTGAAAAGAGCTATAGTTTATAAGATTTTAAAGCAAAAAAAAACATATGTAAATAATTTTGAAATCAGTTTTGAGCTTACAACATCATTAACTTCGAAATGGGCTTATAATATATATAGTGTGCGTCAAAAATTAGTATACCCTGTTGTTTTGGCAACTTTATTTATCTATATTTTCCATACCAAATTTTCTTTATATTTTTATAAAAATATAGTTAATTCAAAAGCAAAAACCAATGGAGTTAATTTTTTAATTTCATACGGAACTCGGGGGAAAAACGCAAGAAATATTACATGTTTCAACTCGATTTCTTATGCAGGTATGCAGTTTTGTAGCCCATTAAATTTTAATGTTATAAAGTGTAACTCAATTACCGTTGATTTTTGAGAATTTTTTTTCGGTGTAGCTCATTTTCTTCCATATAACGCACAATCAACACAAGAACACAATCTTTTTTTTTTATACGAAAGACGGGCTACAAAACTGCATGCTTAAATTTTTTTTCAGGAAGCAGGCTTATATCATTACATATTTGTAGCCCTCGGAGAAGCTGCGGTTTACTCTCATTTCAAAGAATGATTAATTGTTGAAGAAAATACCTTGTAAGTTTTTTACACTTTTATCAAACCACACGATAAATCTGCTCCTCCTTATTAACAAATGAAGACGAAATTCCGGTCTGAACAAATTTTCTAAAGTCCTACAATAATTCAAAGCCTTCACGCTCTTTACCACACCCGGTAAACTTTTCAAACCAACCAAATCTAAACATTTTCCAATTAACTTGTGCCCGTTTGATGTGCTGATCGCTGTAAAAAAAATATGTCTCCGCTTCGTTATCCTCGTTTTTACAGCAACTGTTGTTCACATCGTTGCCTTACTTTGCTGGCATAATACAAACGTTGCATAGAAGTAATCTACACTTTTTTAAATTTTATCTCAAATATTCCTAAAAATTAAATCGCACTTCAGAGAGCCCTTCTCTCTTCTCGATCATGGAGTGGAATCAAAAAAAGTTTATACTTTTAAAAATTGTTTTAATGATTATTTAAACCGTTGCGGCCATCAAATCTGAAGTTTAGTCTCCCTTTCAAGACATGCCACGAGGTGCGAAATTCGAGTCATGATCCTGATTGATACCCTTTTTTGAAATTTGGTTCATTTCTCTTTTCTGCTACAGTTTCGAAAAATATTTGCCCTTCCTTCAATTTAAGTCCCAACAAATCGGCTGCAGAGATGTGATGTATAGGCTCATTTTTTTATTTTATCCTGCTGAAAGCTCCTTTACCCATTTTCTTAAACAGAAAGTGCGATTTCTTTGTCCATTCTTGCTATTGTTGGAAATGTTCTTTAAATGCTTTAAAAAGTTTCGAAAGTACAATTTTAATTACTTTGCTTTGCTACTGTATCTGAAGTATTTTCCTCTTTTCCACCACTTTTCTTCAAAATTAATTATTCTTCAAAATAAAAGTTTTTCGATGTCCATATTAGATCTTAAAAAAAAAAGATGTAATAATGTGCTTATTCAAGTGAAGCGGGTTGTATGTAGTACATATACATACGTCAATATAGTACATTTGTATGTACATATATAAAAGTGTGTGTGCCTCTCCAAAAAAGTATCGGTTTTTGCATCAGAATTATAAAATGTCTATAAGACTTCCGCCTAAATATTTCAGAAAAATATTAAGATTTACGTGAGCTGCACCAATTTGAAAATACCTCCAAAAATCTAGTTATTTTGATATCGTTAATAAAATCTTAAAATATATTTATGCAAACCTTTTAAGATTGAAGTCTTCTATCATCTGAGATGACTTTTAGCATTTTCTTTTTATGTTACTATGACATATTTGTAAAAAAGTCTGTTTTTTTTTTCTGTAAAATAATTTGGCGCAAGTCTTAAAATATAACAAATTTTTTAATTTCGATGGAAAAACAATGTCGACTTTTTTTGTAAGGAGGGTGTTCCACCCTAATACATATATAGTATTTAATCGCATTTGGTATAGACTAGTAATATTTTCTAATAATTTCAACTATACGTAACTTAGCTATTGAGAATAAATATAATAATAAGTTTATAAAATAAGTGATATGGAAATTAAACCAGTATGCTTTTAATACTCCCTTGGTTTTTTTTAAGGACAATAAGGTTATAAGCTTATGTGAAAAATATATATGTATACTTAATACAAAAGTACATTTAATCCTATTTAACGCTGCTTTACCACTAACAATTTACTACTTTTTAAAATACTCTGTATGTATTTCTGTGCAAAAAATTTTATGTTCGAACTGCAACAAGTTTTTTCTTCATTGTGTCTTTAGTTTGAGTTCAATTTCTTTTATTGTTGTTTTTACATTAAAACTAATTTTGAACGTTTCTTGGGACGTTGTAATATAGTACATATGCATATATATTTACTAAATACATTTATTAAACAAAAATATGTTTTTTGTAAAAAATTAAAAAAAAAAAAAAAACATACAAAAACCAAACCAAAAATTTGTCCGAACTATTTTCTTACCGAAAAAACGATACGTATTTTTCTCGTGTTTTTTTCTGATTATGATGATGATGATGATGATGATAATCACTTGATGTTGGGTATGATGAACGACGTGATGTTGATGATGATGACTTATGCATGATGTTGATGATGATTATGATGAATTCGATAAACATTTTGGTGGTGTTGACGTGTGAATTTCATAAATGGCTTTGCTCTTCTCGCACAATTTTAATGGCGTTTCAACTGTGCGTGCACCTCCGCAACACAACAATGGTACAATGGTGGTGGCAATAATGATGATGATGCTAATGATGAATAATAATGACAACGACATTTGGCTAATGTGGTGTCAACGTGGGATATGGCATGAATTCGGTTGCATTGCTATTGATGACGACGATGATGATGATAACGATGATNATTTGGTGGTGTTGACGTGTGAATTTCATAAATGGCTTTGCTCTTCTCGCACAATTTTAATGGCGTTTCAACTGTGCGTGCACCTCCGCAACACAACAATGGTACAATGGTGGTGGCAATAATGATGATGATGCTAATGATGAATAATAATGACAACGACATTTGGCTAATGTGGTGTCAACGTGGGATATGGCATGAATTCGGTTGCATTGCTATTGATGACGACGACGATGATGATGATGATGATAACGATGATGATGATGGTGATGACTGCGAAATGTTTATCGTTTGCTCTTCACTGCCGGCGAATCACTCTTGTTGATGACGACCCTTGTGGCATTTGAACACACAATGTCCCTGCCTGTGGGACGATGGATTNCAACGTGGGATATGGCATGAATTCGGTTGCATTGCTATTGATGACGACGACGATGATGATGATGATGATAACGATGATGATGATGGTGATGACTGCGAAATGTTTATCGTTTGCTCTTCACTGCCGGCGAATCACTCTTGTTGATGACGACCCTTGTGGCATTTGAACACACAATGTCCCTGCCTGTGGGACGATGGATTTTTTTTTTCTTTTTTCTCTGTTTCTTTTTTCTTTTTCTCTCTTTCTCACATGTATGTTTATCCATGACTGAACCCTGTATCGTTTTCGCAAATCGCCCCATATCGACTGTCCAATCCAACAACCAACCAACCAATCGACCAACGCCCGATCGATCAACTACCACCCAATTCGCTGTACCGGCGCAACGTTGCTTCCTCTACATCCCTCGCCGCACACGCATTAACCACCAACTATCAACGGTCTATCTACTTGGTTACAACAACGCCACTAACGACGACGCCAACACCGCCAACGCCAACACCGAAACCACCACCACCACCACTACGAATAACTGCTCTGAACCTACCCGTTAATCGAACTCCTCGATGATGCGATCTATTGCGATACAATTGATAAACACACACACTCACAGACAGCAAAGCCCGTCATACAAGATGATGCTGATGGCCACTTGATATATCACAACGGCGACATTCTTCATCACAGATGTTCGTGACAACTTTTTGTTTTTCTTTCCTTTTTACTATTTCCTTTTTATCTAATACATAAACATACATAATTGAAATATTAAAACAAAATAGTCAAATTAGAATTAATAGAGTAAAAAATGAAAAGATAAATGCGAAGCTCAAAAATGGCTTCGGAGTTAGGATGAGCAAAAATTAAAATATCATTTTATGTAATTTCCAAATAATGCGCGAAATTACCGCTGCTTGCTTTTGGATAAAAAAACATTTCGAATTATATTTTATATTTTTGCACATACAACAATTAGGCTTTTGTAGGAGATGAAGAAACCAATTTCTTAAATGATTCAACGCGCTCTTCGTATACATAATTCCACTTTCATTAATAGATTTTTCGTTCACAGATACACTCCGTGTCAAAGTTATAGGCGCAGCACATATTGACAAGTTTGAAAATGAATTTTTTGTTATTTAATTTTTGTATAGAAATAAAGTTAGGTATTCTTTAACCAACACGGTATAAATTTATGTTAAAAGCTTTGCATGTTAAAAAAATAGCAAACTTTCGAGACAATTTTGAGCTTTTTAATTAGGTTTACTAGATATTCAATTTCACTACATATAATAAAGTGCAAGGGCTAAGCGTTGACTTTTTTACACGATAACGATGTTTTGCATTTTCTTTTACATTAAAAAAAATCGTCGAACGTTCTTTGGAAGAAAATGCACAACACCGTCAGCAAAAAAACTGCCAAAACAATAGTAGGTCCCAGCTAGCTATATGCTAAAAAACTACATACTCAGTCATTCTAAGAAATCTAATTAGGGAGCTCAAAAGTTTTTTTTTTTTTTTTAATAATGCACAAAGTTTGAAACTTGAGTTAAAACGACTTTTATTAAAGAATAAACTATATTTTGAGAAAAAAACTAAAGTTAAAAAAAAACTTAATAGTTGAAATTTGTCAATATGTGGTGCGCTTATAATTCGGACGCAAGGTGTACTACTAAACTAAAAATTGTTTTAAATGTTTAATACTTTTTTAAATTTTCCATTTTTAAACGGTAGATAATTTATTTATTTTTTTTTATGTTTTACGTCTTTTAAATTATGCTTGAAATAAATAGATTTTTTTTTGTTAAATTCAACGCGGTTAACTTCTTTAAATTAAATTTAAAATTTGCGCAAATTATGCAGAGTTAAAATAAAAGCAAAGAAATGGTTTACAGCAAAGTTCTCATTATAATTAACAGCGTCAGGCAGTTACTATTTAAATCGAAGAATTAGGTACTCAGTCGAATAATTTCTGCAACGCAATGAGGGCATTCGAAGTTCCACTTTGAATTACAATGTTGTCTTTTTTTGCGAAATTTCAGACAAAATCATGGCAACTCTGGGCGAGGGTACATTTGGACGCGTTGTCAAGGTCAAGGATATGGAAAGGTAAATATGCTACTAGCGCAATAAGAGGAGGTTCAAATGTTCGTGGTTTCTTTGCTTGTTGTGTGAATTAATGTAAAATAAAAAATAAAAAATGATTTTACTCTTAGGGATTTCTGCATGGCCTTGAAGATCATCAAAAATGTGGAGAAATATCGTGAAGCTGCCAAGCTGGAAATAAACGCTTTGGAAAAGATCGCCCAAAAAGATCCACATTGCGAACAGTAAGTCTAGTGTCTGCCTGCTGTTATCTCAAGCGTATAACTCCTTTTGCTGCTAAACCACAGTAGATGAAAAAATTCGAACATATACAGCTACCACAGGAGGACGATGATTTACAACTAAATTACGCAAAGTGAACAAATTCATCTTCTGTGGTGTTTTCATTAAAATACATATGTACATACATACATATACATATGGAGGCTATCATCTATCTTCTCTTTTATTTATAAATACTTATTTTCACCCGTACATACATACATACGTACTTACTAATTTTGTTTTTTTTTGTTTTTTTTTTGTTTTATTACAGTTTGTGTGTAAAAATGATTGATTGGTTCGACTACCATGGTCACATGTGCATCGTTTTTGAGATGTTAGGTTTAAGCGTGTTCGATTTCTTGGTGAGTTTCGCTTTTCTCTGTGCACGTTTCATATTATCAAATATTTTCATATCCACAGCGCGAGAACAACTATGAACCATATCCATTGGAACAAGTACGACACATGGCCTATCAATTATGTTACTCAGTGAAATTTTTACATGAAAATCGTTTAACGCACACTGATCTTAAGCCTGAAAATATACTCTTTGTGGATTCGGAGTATACAACGCACTACAATCACAAAATTGTAAGTATGAAATTTGAGAATTTTACCACTAAAATATTAAAAAAAAAAAGTTTTGAAGAAAAACGTGTTTTTTCTTCAATCTCTCAAAAATTTAGGATTAAATACAGTACTTTCTGCACACTAATAGATACAGGCGATACTGAACTTGCTGCAGCTCTAGCAACATTATTTGTAGTGTTGGGCAGTATCGATACCAAAAGTAGTCGGAACTCGATTCTCAAAAGGATCGACAGTACCCTATTTAAAAAATATCGATACGGAGTACTCCAAAGTACTCAGTATACACAAAATAACTTGAAAGTAATACAAATATAAAAGAACTCGTAAGTACTCAGTACTGAAAAATACTCTGTTCTAAACATCAGCTCTATACATGTGCTCAAGATCGATTCAAAGTACTCAGCATTAAGTGCCGAATAGATACTTAAAGCTACTGAGTTCCATTTACATTTAACGGCTCTCAGAAATGATTGTACGCAATTTCAAGTTTCAGTAATTTTCTAGCACAATACTTGTACAGTTAGCCATTCTCCTGGCATAATTTGGGATAAGTATATAACTTGAATAAAGTACTGCCAGCTTGTAAGATTTTTACACTAACCATTGCTACCGACATGTGTATAAAAGTACACATGAAAGTACTCAGTACTCTCAAAAATACACGGTCCTTAAAAGTATCGATAACAAAGAACTCGACCTTGGAAAGTACTCAATTCTTCCCAGCGATAATTATTTGCTTGTTTATGAGGTCACGTAAGGCCGAACACTATCAGTTTCGTCAGCCCCTAACCTACCATAATATTCTACATGCATTAATATTACATAAAGTAAACAACATTCACTACTCTACGAATTCACATGCTCCCTTTAAGGCAACTCCCCTACAATTTTACCATTATTATTTCATTGTTCTTCTTGGTTTTTTTTATGGTTATGTAAGGCTTTCAACTTTATACTATTTTCCCACGGCATCCTGAATTACTTTGTTCGCTCCCCCAATTACGATCGCGAATTACCCCATTCCCACGGGCACATTCTTAATTCGATTTGACAGTTCTCTGTCTCTGTGTTTTGTTTTTGTTTTCTTCGCTGAAAAATTTATGCAAAATGTAGGTTGTTCCTAAAAATTTATAAGTTCCCGTATTAAATTAGGTATATACTCATTTATAAACTTTACTTTTCGTACTCAGAAAAATGCAAGTTTTGATTTATGAGCTAGTTTCGATAAATTTCCGATAAAAATTAGAGACGGCACCGATTTGTTCGTAATTCGCATGGTAATTGGATCTGAATTACCAACAAATGAGGTAATTCGCTCTCAAAATTTTGTATGGCGAATTACGTAATTCGAAGGTTAATTGGAGAGAGCGAACTACGTAATTGGGGTGCCGTGGGAAAGTCGTATTAGTTGCTCTGTTGCGAAATTTGCATTGAAGTCAACTTCGCTAAGCTTGTAGAAGTTTAAAAGTTGACTGCACCATGAGCTAGTCATTTACTGGTGGTAATAAGATGTTCCATTGATTCATTCTCTTCACTACAAAATCTGCAAATATCTGTAGCCAAGCCTGTTAGTGCTCCACATAGCGTCTTTAGGTTGAACTCTTTTGTCACTGATGCAAGAAACTTCTTAGAGTAATGATGGTAACTTTCTGGACTGGTCTAATGGCTAGTAGTGAAATTTTGCCCACTTGTTAAGACCCTTTTTCATGTCATTGTTGTTCAATGCAAGGAATCGGCTGAATCCAATGAATGTCACCTTTTTAGCTTGGAGCTCTACTTTATCATTACCATCATAGCCTTCATGATCAGGCACTCAGATTAGGGAGACTATTATGGGCGGCTAGTTCATTCAAGTGCTCTGTTACACTCTAGAAGAGTTATTGATGAGTATACATAGCAGACTATCAACAGCTTTGAAACAGAAAATATAAAGATCTTTTTTCTGGCACATTGCCGGTGTCCGACAAGGTAGCCTTGATTTGAATTTGCAGGCTGTGTTGTTTTCATTTAATCTTACACTGTTTTTTTAATTGCAAGATTTTTGAGTGAATATTATGGGTTTGGCCAGTTCAGGTCATTTTGGGATTCAGACACCATGTTTGAAATATGACTCCAAGGTGAGTTTTCTATCCGGGGTTATGCCTGGATATTTAGCTTCTTCNTTAGGTATATACTCATTTATAAACTTTACTTTTCGTACTCAGAAAAATGCAAGTTTTGATTTATGAGCTAGTTTCGATAAATTTCCGATAAAAATTAGAGACGGCACCGATTTGTTCGTAATTCGCATGGTAATTGGATCTGAATTACCAACAAATGAGGTAATTCGCTCTCAAAATTTTGTATGGCGAATTACGTAATTCGAAGGTTAATTGGAGAGAGCGAACTACGTAATTGGGGTGCCGTGGGAAAGTCGTATTAGTTGCTCTGTTGCGAAATTTGCATTGAAGTCAACTTCGCTAAGCTTGTAGAAGTTTAAAAGTTGACTGCACCATGAGCTAGTCATTTACTGGTGGTAATAAGATGTTCCATTGATTCATTCTCTTCACTACAAAATCTGCAAATATCTGTAGCCAAGCCTGTTAGTGCTCCACATAGCGTCTTTAGGTTGAACTCTTTTGTCACTGATGCAAGAAACTTCTTAGAGTAATGATGGTAACTTTCTGGACTGGTCTAATGGCTAGTAGTGAAATTTTGCCCACTTGTTAAGACCCTTTTTCATGTCATTGTTGTTCAATGCAAGGAATCGGCTGAATCCAATGAATGTCACCTTTTTAGCTTGGAGCTTTACTTTATCATTACCATCATAGCCTTCATGATCAGGCACCCAGATTAGGGAGACTATTATGGGCGGCTAGTTCATTCAAGTGCTCTGTTACACTGTAGAAGAGTTATTGATGAGTATACATAGGAGACTATCAACAGCTTGGAAACAGAAAGTATAAAGATCTTTTTTCTGGCACATTGCTGGTGTCCGACATGGTTGCCTTGATTGAATTTGCAGGCTGTGTTGTTTTCATTTAACCTTACACTGTTTTTTTAATTGCAAGATTTTTGAGTGAATATTATGGGTTTGGCCAGTTCAGGTCATTTTGAGATTCAGACACCATGTTTGAAATATGACTCCAAGGTGAGTTTTCTATCCGGGGTTATGCCTGGATATTTAGCTTCTTCCTTTAAGGGAATCACAGTCCCACTAATATTTAGATCTGGAAAACAAAGCTTCCTTTTTCTGGTGAAAAGGATGATTGTAGTTTTATTGGGATTTATATTTTATTGAGATATTTAGGACTTCTTGCTTGGGACGCAGTTTAAATAAGCGGATCAAATCAATCATTCGGCATTCCGCTAATGGAGGCCCGGTTAATCCGAGTTCAGCTGTACGCCGGAGCTTATATGGCAATCATAAGACTTCGTCAGTTTCACTTAGATCTCCTCAAGTTATCTATGGTTCACTGGCTAGTGTTAAAAGTAATTGTGCACAAATTTTCTGAATTAAAAATGGAACCATGTAGATCATTTTAGGCTACTTATTTTAAACTTATGAAAAAAAAGCAAATCTAAAACTATTCTGAATTTTATTTTTCAGAATCGTGAAGTGCGTCGCGTCAAAAACACCGATGTTCGCCTAATCGATTTCGGTTCAGCTACATTCGATCATGAGCATCACAGCACAATTGTATCGACACGTCACTACCGTGCACCGGAAGTTATTCTAGAATTGGGTTGGTCGCAGCCCTGTGACGTTTGGTCAATTGGGTAAGTGAATTGAAGGAAACAAAAAATCAACACTTGACTGAGACACATTGATTTTGAAATACAATTCCTTAGTCTGAGTTCAGACACGGAAACTTTTGTCGCGGCAACTCGTTACTTTTAGGAGAGGGCGAACGACGAGGAAGGGGAAGGGCACCGAGTTGCTCGTGCTCGGGCAATACGCTGTGTGCTCTAGTTCGTCTGAGTTATTCAAGTTGGCGGTTCACAGCTGACAACAACAATTGTATACAAAAGAGAAGTTGCCGAAAATGAGCAACAAAAGTTTCCGTGTTTGAACTCAGTCTTTGCATGAACTTATGTATTTATGTATAAGTAGTACTTTGAGTATGTATTTTTTGAACGAATTTCCGTCATCTCTTATCAAGTTTGGTTTGAAGGCAAACCGGTTTCGGTGTTGTACCATTTTTATTTTCTTCAAACCAAACTTGACAAGCAGTGACGGAATTTCGTTCCAAAATACATCTATCTATCTTCCCACCCTTTCGTACAAATAAACCAACACCAATAAATAGTTCGTGTTCAACTACTAAAACTATAAATTTTATTTTAATCCTTATTATTTTCTCTACTTTCCATACAGCTGCATACTCTTCGAATTATATCTGGGCATCACACTCTTCCAAACGCACGACAATCGTGAGCATCTCGCGATGATGGAGCGTATATTGGGCCAAATACCATATCGTATGGCACGGTAATGCAAAGCTAAACATGCTTACATATTTTAACGTGCAGTATACTTCATAAAATTCGATTAATGTATAGCAATCATTGTCATTACAGCAAAACAAAAACAAAATACTTCTATCACGGTAAGTTGGACTGGGATGAGAANCGTCTGGTTTGTTACAAATGTAATGGCGCAGGTTTATTTAATGTCCAATTATATCACTAAAACTTTTATCATTTCAATGACCAGAGGAAATTCGACACTAGACTAGCAGTAACAACGGCGCTCAATACAAGATTTAATATTTACTATAAAGTATTGAAATTTTACTAAAGGTGTCAATATGCTAATTATCAATTCCTTTTCATTTCATTTATTGCGAACACATTAGTCAAATAAGATCTCTCGTTTCTGCAGCATTGCCAATATCTCTTTGCTCCTGCAACACTCATAGTATATATGTATGTGAATATATGTACCAATTTTCATTGCTCCACGAGCTCTTAAAATTTATTCTAAATCGATATCTTGAATCGTTATTTCACACTTCATGAGAAAGCACAGTTGCTATGAAATCATTTAGATTTTTGGCCAATACGCCAAGCGTATTGCAAAACCTTTAGCCGAGTTTCAGTTCTTTCAAGGCAAACTAATCCATTTTACATCAATAATATTACTAATCTATTTTCTATTTCATTACTCTTCCTCTCTAGGTGATGCGCTACGACATCCATTCTTCGACAAGCTTCCACCGCACCAACGCGTTGGCGACGTCGGCAACAATAAGCAGGCCGTCTCTTCGGGCAGCAGCAGCAGTCGTGAACGTTCGCATAGCTTGTCAAGATGAGATTTAGCGCGATTTGGTTATTGTTAATTAAAATTAGAATTGCAACAAGGAACAACAGAGAAATAGAAGAAGGAACAACACGAACTACAAATATACAAACAAAATATATGGTGCAGCAATGAGTAGAGAGAACAAAACGCAGGACTTAGGCGCAACCAGCAAACAACAGGTGATGATGACAATGGTGCAGCGCAACAACCACCGTACCAGAATCAAACTTTGGTGAAGAGAAAAAGACAAGACTTCTTCATCATCACACAATGTCAACCACAATTAGGTAGCAGTGAAAATAGCAACAACACACTTCCATAAACTAACTACATTATAGAAAAAAAAAATCGCAAGCATACAATAACAATAGTAAGGAACACAAATAACTTATATACAGCAACAATTAGAAGCAGACAGACATATATACAAGTTCAAGGTTGTACTACATAACATAGGTACAAGCGCAATTAATATTGCAGGTACTTTTTATAAAAGTATACTTTCCTTTTTTGCATGCAACTCAACATCTTTGCTATGCTAAAGAAATCGTAGAAACTGCGAAAAGAGCTGAGCAATTTAAAGCGCTACACATACCCAACTAAATTTGGCGAAAATAGAAAGAAGAAACATACACACACACAAACAGTAACGCATACATGTTTGCTTTTTTCGCTTTTGCGAAATGGATGTTTTACTTAAAACTTTTATGTGAAACTTAATTCTTCTAATTTGAAGTTACTACCCGTGCGCCATACTTTGGAGCGTCACTTGCAGCATACATTCATATACACTGCATGTACTATCATCACTATTTTGCGCGTACATACGCATACATATGTACGCTTACTTTGTACTTTACACAGATACATATATATTTTGTATTTTTTGCCCCCTCACTTTACCACAGGCAAATTTCAATGAAATTT